CCCCCGGGGGCTGTCCCCCGTCCCGAGACAGCATGCACCCAAATTTCAGGGCACCGCCGTTTGGAAGTCACCAATACATTTTCCCCAAAAAGAAATCCGGTGAGCCAAGGAGTCGGGCGAGCCGGGTCCCTGCTAGGAGGGTCCTCAGGCCCCACTTGCTGGAACGCGGGGCTGCCTGGTGTGAAACAGGCGTGTCGTCTCTTGCCTGCGGGTGAGGATCGTGTTTTCCACTTTCCAAAAAATAAAAAATAAAAAAATCGAGTAAAATGCACCCGTAACCCCACCCAGGGCCAGTGGGTGCATCCTAATGTGACTTTCCTTTTGCATGTGACCATAGGAATTGATCAGGTAAAAACAGGTCATGCAGTTCAGAACAGAGACACGATTCTAGCTTAAAAAAGGAAAAGTGATGACCAGGCAAATAACGGATAATGACGGAAAACTGGCCAGTTGTCCAGGGTTGGGATGAGGTGGGCGTTGGCCGAAGGAAAATCTGGGGCCATGGCGATATGCAGTAACGATTGGTGTGGTGGTTACGTGAGCGCATGCAATTGCTGTATCTCATCTAACGCTTCAGCTTGGTGGATTTTATTGTATGTAAGTCAAATGCATGGTGTTTATGTCTGAATAAAGTTGATTTAACCATAAGAGGTGATTGATGTGTGTGCCATCCACACAAGTTTTGCCTCCAAACAGTCCGGGACACCTTTGTTGCATTTCATTTAATTTTTTGTTGAATGTAACAAGCGACTCCTGCAAATCTACTCTGGGTAGAGAGCAAGCAAGCTCAGAAAGATGAACAGCCACGACCTCCGGATGGCAGGGGACTGCCAAATTGTAGGGGCAACAACTAAAACTGGTGGCAGTGAGCGAAGTCACAAGTTCTTATGTGCTGGCCGTTTTTCTTGGTCTCCACAGCATTTTCTCAGACCCCTTCTAGCTTAATGGAGTGTGGACAAAATTCCTGACAATGGTACCACAACCGTTGAGGCAGATGAGGAACAGAGGTGTTGTGTGACTTGACCTGAGTCACAAAGCTAGTCTCGGCCCTTGGCCTTGATTCAGACCCAGGCTGTGCACTCTCAGCCTATGTGCTGTTACCTGCTGTTTTCCTTCCGTAGTGACACCACACTCAGGAAGTTGTCACAAGACTGCAGGGTCCTCAGATATTGCTAACTAGGGAGTTTAAAAGGTGACTTAAAGGCCCCCAACGTCTCCCCCCACAAAGGAAATTTGGGACTTTATTCTGATGATAATTTCTTTGTGATTTAAAGGCTTATTTCTTTTTTTTCTCTCTCTCTCTTTTAAACTGAAAAGCGATTTAAGAGAAAACTCTGGCAGCCATCCAAATGGTGGGTTTTAAGGAGCTATCAAAGCCAGGAAAGAGTCTAGACTATGAATGAATTGTCTAGGAAGAAGACTACACCAAATGCCGGAACAACAGTAGGAGTACTGGGGATGAGGAGATAGTGACAGACTGCAGAAATGGTTAGATAAAGACACAGTGATGTCTAGTTGACTTAGTAAGATTGAAGAGTATGTTTGGGGCAAAGAGCCTGTGGAGGTGTTCTCCCTGTGAATGGGAGAAGGCTGGGAACTTTTACAAAAATGGGAGAGAGAGAATGAGGAGTGGGTTTGAAGGGGAATATGAATGAGCCCAGTTTGGTAATATAAGACTGGAAGTGCTCCAGCGATCGGACTTTTCACGTGATGCCTGTTTCTCCAGCCATCCGAAGCTGAGTTTCAATGCACATACATCGACAATAACTTCAGAAGGCATAAATAGAGAGATACATTATTTTCTGAGGCAATCTATAAATTGAAACACAGTACCTATTTTTAAAATAACTTACTTCATGTACCTAATCTTTGGTTGTATTCTAAAGATAATAGAATACAGTCAAATCTTAAAAATAGTGTTTATCGCCATACATTGTTTAAAAATTAACACAAGTAAATTAAATCTTTATTTTTAAAATGTTTTAATCTTTTTCATGTGCATCCTTATTTATAAGAGATAAAAGCCTATTCATATTTCTCATCCAGAAAATGATAGCATATAGGTGAACATAAAGTGTTTCATGATGCTTAAAGTTTTGAGATTGTACTTTGCAAAATCAAAATTACTTAAAAATGTATTGCTGGAAGAAGTATGTATTTCTTAAAGGGAAATACAAATAGTCATTGTGTAATTTTGAATCCATTGTCTTTACATGTTGCAAAGAAACATTTAGAAATTTCTTTTTTTTTTTCTGAGTTGGAGTCTCACTCTGTCGCCCAGACTGGAGTGCAGTGGCCGCTCCTGGCCACTGCAGCCTTGACTTGCTGGGCTCCGGCGATCCTTCCGCCTCAGTCTTCGGAGTAACCAGAATTATAGGCACGCGCTACCATGTCCAGCTGATTTTTTGATTTATTATAGAGATGAGGTCTCGGTGCCCAGGAGGGTCTCGAACCTGCGGACTCAGGCAATCCACTCGCCTCAGCCTCCCAAAACGCGGGATTACAGGCTGAGCCACCAAGCCCGGTTTAGAAATTTCTATCTAACATATGTTTAATTATCAAAAAGAAAAGCATACATTAAAGAAGTGTTCTAAAAAAAAATTGAACTGTAAGTCTTAACTCTTATGAACGCTTTTTCCTTGGGTACCACTGGGACATGTTTAATACTGGAATATAAAACAATCACTTAGAGCTTGATTTTGGCTTAAACATAACTCATGGAATTTATGTCACTTTAAGCTACCTACCTGATTGTGGCTTTGTGGAGGACACCAGTGTGAATACTCCTGTTGCAATGTTAGATCTTATCAAATCCATGATCAGTCCTATCTTAGGTATGTCTATAAGTGCCAAATTAAACAGGATTTCTTTGAAAAGTTCTTGGACAGCCTGAAGTTTGGTACGGAAAGTATTCACTGGGAAGACCTGGGTTTAGTTCTAGCTTTGATCTTGAGTGGACTCTTTAAACTTTTTAGAGGTTTGTTCACTCACTGTGAAATGAAAATAAAAATGCCTGCTCTCCTAGATCACAGGGAGGTACTAAGGTCATTAAAGTAGATGTCAGTCAGACATCCATACCTATATCAGACATTCATACCTTTAACAATCAATATATCTAAATATAGGGATATAGTATGCAGTTAATATAAAGCCTTTCTCCAGGATTATATTTACTGTGCTCACAGAGACTGACCCTAGGGAACTAATACTGTTTCTGGACTCCTTTTCTGAGACCTTTGTGACAGTGCCTAATTCCTTACCTAGGTCTTAATAATGTGATTAGATTCCAAGGATCCACCGTTGTGAACATACCTCTAAATATTGGTTGTCATTTATGCATCATTTGACTTTTCTCAACTTAAAAAAAAAAAAGTTGTCACCAATTTGTTAATCTAGATAACTTCCCATTGCTTCGTATTATCTTTATTCTCATAGTACCCTCAATAGAATTACAATGATCACACAGAATTCCTCACCAAAAAACACTGAGTTTCTATGACTCAATTTTAGTCAAAACCCACATGAACAATGAACAGTTGGCAAAATGCTGTAGAAAGATATTTTTTGAAAAAGAAGGAAAATGGAGTTATGTATAAAATAGGAAAGAGTATTCTGGTCACAACGTACTCAGTGCTGAAAGTAAGAAAGGCTTTAGCAAAGTCAAACAATAGGACCAGCGTAGGGGAACGCCCATGAATGGGGAAGGACTAAGCTTTCACAAAGTGGATGTGTGTGTCAGTGGCCCTTATTTTGGTCTCTTAGAACTTTCTAGGTCAAGAGCAGCTTTCTCTGTTGTTTTTGTTGCTCCATGACACCTCACACAGTGCCTGAGTATGATAGGTATGGAATATAAACAATGTGCTGACGGATCGAGTGAATGGATTATTAAATAAATGTCTAAAATAGTACAAAGCAGAATTTGTCAAAAATGCAAATTTTTATTTTTGGAGGATAGATGGAATTCGTTTGCCTCAGAGCCCTTTCAGATTTTTAAATATGTTTTATGTCATTGGGATACAGCAATTTTGCATTTAATTAAAAATAAAAAGCATTTTGTATTTAATTAAAAATAAAAAGCCAGCAAAACTTAGCTGTTTATGCAATAACTCACGATTCCCAAACAGTAGAGGAAATGTGTTGCTTTCTTTTCATGTCTGGTGTTAAACTTGACTTGGGTTCTAGCCAGTCATATAGAGATACTACAATGTTTAAACCTAGCTATCTGGGAGTTTGTTTTTCTATAATATATATATATATATATGAAGTCTATTTAACATCTGTCAACAGTTTGTATCAAAAATTAATTATGCTTTAATACACATTTTCACTTCTGCATTTTTAAAGTTTATTCTTTAATTATGAAACTCAAGTCAGTATTTAGAAGA